AGTAGGAAAGGATTCATAGATTTTCTTTGTTGCACCAAGTACATGTGCAGACAGAGAAACAATAGCAGACAGACAGATGCTCACATTCCGGTTCTCTGACCACAGTCGATAAGACAATTATAACTGTACTGGAAAGAAAGAGGCAAGGCCCAAGTGCTGGGTAGTTAGTATGGTGTCTTTATTAATTTTGTCAAGAAATCTACAGCATAAACATGAACTATGCAGGATCTGGAAAAATTAGTAGCCAACTGAATGCCTTCCCTCTCCAAAGGCTTTGTTGTGATGCTGAAGTCAGTGAATTACTTGGCTTTAGCCCTACAGGTCACCCCCTTTGGTGCTGTGGGATTGCTGTCTTAATCTGGCATCTTTGGCAACAGAATCAATGTAAGAGTGTTATGGCACCTCCAGGATTAACCAACATCTGATGGCTAAACCAAATGGACTGTAGCAGTGAATGCAACCTTATGTGAAGGGAAAATATATCTTCATTTAGTCCTGAAGGTGCCATAAGACTCTTGGTTGGGACTCTCTGGGCCTGCCCCTCAAAGTCCCAGGTAAAAGCAAAACAAAGCACAAACCAGTGATTGTGGCCACTCAAACTGCAGGTAACAAATGTCTTTCTTAACCATAAAGTGACCAATTTGATTTAGGGTGTGATCAGATGGGCATTTAGCCTGCTTTTTGATCTGCTGCAGGGATGGGTTAGTTTTTCCAGGAATCATATGATGTAATCACTGGGGCAAACAGACTATTTCCAGAGCATTCCTACCACACCTTTCTGAGTCCCTGCCTGGAATTTCTTTGTTTGTGTGGGTAGGATAACTACATTTTGGTTTACTGTACTTCCAGTGCAATTGCTGGAAGTGAACCAAAGCAATCTTTCAGCTGTCAAATTGCCTTCCACTGGAAAGTTCCAGTATTGTGAAGTGGCTTCAGGAAAGAACTATTTCAGGATAATGGCAAATTAAATGCTTCCTCTGTTTCTCCGTGGAGGGACAGAGGAAGTTTTTAAAAATGTAGGGTGTATTAGCTCATAATGGATGCATTGCATCACTTATTTAACAAACCCACAAAAATAGAAAACTTCCTCCTGGAACCTGCCCTCAGCTGAATCCACCTCAAATTTGGCTGAACCAAACAGGATCACTTGAAGACTGTGTGCAGTTTGGATGCAAAGATAACACAGAATAGCATACGTAATCTCTCAGTGACCTATAGCAACCCTATTTAGCCTGCACCAGCCCACTCAAATGACTCCATGTTGACAAGTTCCTAGACTGACACAATTTAGAAGCAGAGAGAGTGTGTTGGGGGGGGGGAGTGCCAAAGCATGGAGTGAAGAAGAGCAGGTTACTGCTTCACATCCTGCCATAATACTGGCACAAAGATGTGAAATGCAACATTTGAGGCACCTTTTCTCACTTACCAAATGGCTATCAGGCTACCCATTGCCTCACAGCTGATGCAAGAAAACAGTGGGAAACCTGTATGTTCAGTTTATATAAACTTGCAAAAACAAAGCCAGGAAAGCTATAAGAGCTCTCTTCCCTGCTGTGGGTAGAAAATCAGGCTGAAGTAGTATGGTGCTAAACTAGAAAGGGGGCAGAGCAGGGAGAGATTTTAAGGCAAAGCATCTGACACTTTTCTGGGCAAGTGCAAACAGGCCCTGGGCTATTCAGAATACGAACCAAAAATGTGAAGGAAAAACCTTTGGATTCTGTCTGTGGGTGTGATTTCCCACAATTCAAAGCATTTTAAAAAGTAGCTTGACAGGCAGTTCTGCTACTACCTAAATTATATATCATCTGATTTCAAATGTTCTGAGCCAAGAATTGTGGACTTTCTGAGTTGCAGTGCATTGCCAATGAGCAGAGAAGCTGGGTGTCAAAGCCAAAGCCTCTCTTGTTAGGCCATGCTTACATTTTCTAACTTAGAACTATCTGAACAGAAAGCAAAAGTGGTGGAGAAATGTTACTGCCGTCAGATAGCAGGAATGAAATTACAAGACTGAATTTTCTCCATATGCTGTACAAAATACCCTGACATGGTAGATGTTTGTACATAGAATGTCTTGCGTTTATGTTGTTTATGTTTTTGTCCATGGTGAAGCATTCAGCCTTGCAAACCTTCAACCAAAGTCAAGTTAGCAGGTGATGATGAATAGTTTATTCAGAGGCCTTTCTAGGCATTTTACTTATGCCAAGTCCTTTGCAAAAAATCATGGTAATCTGAGGAGGTCCATTGAGGCTGGATCTAGACATCCTGCAGAATGAGGAGAACCACTGGTAAAATGGATTGTTCCAAGTTCAAATTTAAGTTCTTGGGAGAGGAGGTGCCCTTTTTCCCGTTTCTTCCATACAGGTAGGAAGTTTTTCTCTCTCTCTCCAATACAAATTGCAAAGTAGCAAAGAACTAGAACTGCTCCTCTTTAGCTATTTGTTTCCTGATTTTATTGAATTCTTAACACAAAGAACATAACAAAATGCATTTGCGAAGGCTTTTATGGCCGGGATCTAATGATTGCAGAGGACAGCACTCTGAAGATGCCGGTCACAGAGACTGGCGAAACGTTAGGAAGAACAACCTTCAGAACACGGCCAAAGAGCCCGAAAAACCCACAACAACCAACATTACAAAATATTCCACTCAGCAGTCTAAAGGGCCACATTCAAGTTGCTATCTCAAGAGAAGGATGGACAAACTGGTCTCTTTTCAAACTGTGCCAGTTCATCTTCATTTTGAAAAAAAAAATTATCTATTTTTTGAAATTTTGGAAGAAATACAATGGTGCCTCGCTTAATGAGGATAATCCGTTCCAGCGAAATCGCTGTAGAGCGAAATCCTTGTTAAACGAAATAAAAAATCCATTGAAACGCATTGAAAACCCGTTCAGTGCGTTCCAATGGGCTGAAAACTCACAATCCAGTGAAGACACTCCATAGGGGAGGCCATTTTCGGTGCCTGTAAAGAGAGGAAGCCGTCCAAAAACACAGCGGGGAGCCATTTTACACAGTGGGCGACCATTTTGAAGCTGCCAATCAGCTGTTTTAAAAACATCTAGCGAAAAATCGGTTCCCGAAGCAGGGAACCGATCATCGAGAAGCGAATTTTGCCTATTAAAACATTGTTTTGCAATCGCAAAAGCGATCACAAAACAGTCATCGTATAGCGGTTTCGTCATTTAATGAGGCAACCGTTAAGCAAGGCACCACTGTACTAATGCATTTACCCTAAAATAAGTATTTTTTCATACATCTGCCACTAGCTTCTGATATGCATGTTGGCTTTTTTTTCTGAGTCAAGAAAGAACTGTATCACAAAACTGGGGGAAGCACAAAAACTGAATGACAATCGGTTTCTGGTGTTACTTTGGAAAGCATGAGTTAGGAACATTCATTTAAAAATGTGAGCCGGACAATGTTTTTGAGCATTCCTCCTTCAAGGGTTTTTCACTTCATTCTGCTGCATATGTAGATCTTGTCTCAGTGTTTAAACCAGAGAGTTCTACTACTGTTTCCACACCATGGATTTTCTACTGCAGGCAGATATGTCTCAGGTGTATTGTTTAACATAGTGCTTCCATAGTATTTATACAATACAGATGTGTATTCTGTGGTCTGCCCTCAACATAGCCCTGCGAGAAACACCATTATCATGCCCACTTGACAATTTCGGGAAGTGCTGATGCTGAGTAATCGATTTGCCCATTGCTACCCATTAAACCCATGTCTGAGCTGCAATTTTCAAATTGAGAATTGATTTATTTCAACTGAGTTTAGGGGATTGGTGAGTAAGAGACAGCTGAATTTTTGCATCCAAAGGCCAAGTTATATAACTTATGCCACATACTAAGGCTGAGGACATGATCAGCTGCAGAATTTTTTTAAATTAATTTTTTTTCCATTCCTGCCCCCCCCCCAATGGTCCCAAAGTTCCCTTGTGGTTCCTTTCAGTGAGCAATAGCTGTTGGGAACCATGGGACAGGGGAGTCTTCAGTCGTTAAGGTCATCCCAGCTGCAGCAATTTAAAAAAAAAAATCCAAGACAGCAAAGGAGCCTTAAGACCTCGGGTGGGGAAAATCAGACATGTTTTATTTCTGGGGCAAAAACCACTGCAGTTGATCATGTCATCAGCCTTATGCAACTGGAAAACAGGCCGTCTGAGGAAAGACTGAAAGAATTGAGCATATTTAGCTTTGAGAAAAGAAGACTGAGGAGATCTGTGATAACACTTTTCAAATACTTGAAAGATTGTCATACAGAGTAGGAACTGGATCTGTTCTTGGGTATCCAAGAATGCAGGACACATGATAAAGGTGGAGGGAGCCAGATTTAGGATGCATTGACAAAAGTATAGTCTCCAAATCCCATGAGGTACTAGTTCCCTTCTATTCAACACTGTAATAATAGGTTCAAGCTACAGGAAGTCAGTTTTAGGCTGAATATCAAGAAAAACGTCTTAACTTAAGATAAGACATCAAGTTAAATTAAGATGTTTCTCTTGATATTCAGCCTATATCTGGCTTCCTGTAGCTTGAACCTTAAAGAGTTGAATAAAAGGGGACTAGTATCTCATGGGATTTGGAGACTATTGTTATGACAAAAGCAGTACAACAATGGTGAGTGGATTACAACTCCCAGGATGGTCACTGGGAGTTAAAGCCCAGAAGATACCATATTTTTCCATGTATAAGATGCCACTTTTTCCTAAAATCATTACACTAAAAATTGAGGAGTGTCTTATACACAGAAGTAAGCTGAGAAAGTACAAAACGGCTCATACTGTGGCTTTGTAAACAGGCTTCCTTCAATCATGAGGCTTAGCTTCCTCCAATCACAAGCCTTATGGAACTGACATCTGCTGATGCTGAACAAACCAATTGGAACATACCTCGTTGGAGGTGGAGCCTGTAGGCTCAGATTCAACTGGGACTTGTAATGTCCGAGCTTTCTGAGCCCAGAGGCTGAATACTCAAAGCTAAGTTTTCGTAATTTGGGGGTTAGAAAAGTGGGGGGGGGTGTCTTATAAACGGTGGCATCTTAGAAAAATATGGTAACTTTTTCCAGCTTTGCATTCGGCTCCTCTTTTCCTAGAACTGCCCCCTTCAGTGACCATTCTTCCTAGAGATCAAGTATTTTTGTGGAGTCTCTCTCTCAATCTATCTCTCTTTTTGTTTTTATAACAGAGGGCACTGGGAGGGGGCAGCAGGCTTAATGTCCCTTTGACACATTCAGTACTGTGCATGGGATAGGAAGGTGTGATCGTTAGCTTCCACACCACATGAACACAAAGGTCTGTTTGTTCATTTTAATTTAGGAGAGAGAGAGAGCCAGCCTGTTCCTAAATTTTCCAATGAAAAGAAATGTTCCTGTTTGTAGATACCAGATTATAAAAACCGGGACTGGGTGCAATCCACTGGGGTATTTTTTTTCCTCCTTTCTGTGTGTGCCCCATAAAATGATTACAGATTGCCTGAGAATATTTGTCATGTGCATATGAATGCAGCTGTATATGTAACATTAGTCTTAACAGATCCTTGAGCAGCTTATACTGAATTATTCTTCATCAACCAGCAACCAGTGTAACCACTTCCATGATGAGATGGCATGCCTGATTAAGAGAGCAAAGAGACATTGTGCAGCAGATTAAGGCGGGGGAGTGAATAAAAATACTGTATCTTTTTAAAATGCAAAGGGAGTTTACGCAGAGTATGCAGTTAATCCAACTGGCTTCAAGCCAGCTCTCCAAGGTGAACATCCTGTCGGTTTGCAAATGCACAGAAAGCCATGGGAGCACCAATGGGTAATGAGATTCTTACTCCCCAAAGCCTACATTCAGATATTAATTCAATATAGGTCTCAAGGAAAAACAGGGCTCTTATGCTCTGATTCCTGCCTAAAATTACCAGGATTGCCAACTACCCTTTTCTAGACATTGGCCTATTTCTTGTTGCATAGCTACAGCGGTGAAACAGGAATGACACCAGTGACAGTGGGAGAATGCTGCTAATTAAAGAGTCCCTGCTTTAATTTTGTTTGCATGCTATTTGCACGCAGTGAGACAAAGTTATATACAACCAAAAAGACTCTTTAAGTAGCAGTGATCTGTCACTGTGGATGATGTTATTCCTACTGTGTCAATATAGTTATACAACAGGGTATTGGCTGGTGGATTCAATGCCTCTGAGCTTGGGAATGACAGACAGTGTTTCTGCATGAAAAAATAAAACATCCCCTGAAAATAAGCGCTAATGCATTTTTGGAGCAAAAATTAATATAAGACTCTGTCTTATGTTAGGGAAAACATGGTAGTATCTCTTTTTGGGCTCTCAGAGTTTTGCTGTGAATATGGTTTTACTTTAAGTGTCACCCAAATGAATTCTAAGATGTCCACTGAAGTTCTTATAATAAACTAGAATGTTCTCTTACATGGATCACCTGTCTTCGAGGCAGAAGCAGGGTCTTTGACTAACACTCCCCAGAGAAGTGTATAAAGACATCCGCTTTGCCATCTGAATGAAGAAGTAAGAAACTCTAGCTGTAGTTCACTGGAAATGGGACTGTGGCCTTGAAGGCGGCTGCAACAGATGTCCTCTGGAAATTTGAGGCAGGATTACTGGCTGTTCTACCTGTCTTATATGCTGTGGTTATGCAAATACAGTTTATGTGACGAAGATGCCATAAGCTTCAAATGTTGTCTTACTGAGCAGATGTTCAGCCTTGTAGTAATGCTTCTGCCACCTTCTTTGATGAACACCTTGAGGTGGTGAGGAGTCTTCAAGATGTCAGGTAAGCTGAGAGTCCTGGGAAGCAGCAATTTTGGAAGGTGAGACAGGCAAGAGGATCTTCCATAGAGAACAGGAGTGATGCTCAAGCTAATTCATGTTACATTCTAATTCCAAAGAAAGGAATTGCCAGAGATAGCAGTAGTTATAAGAACATAACAATAATTTCCATGCGAGCAAAGTGATGCTGTTTTAGCTCAGTCTTTCCCATAGGACAGACTATGAACCTCCAGACAAATGTGAAGTGCAAGTGGAGGGGAAAGGATTGCAGCTGGAGATTGATAAACAGTCAAGGAATACCTCACTACCTTGTATGAAGTCAAATCTCCAGGGCTGGATGAACTGCATCTGAGAGTACTGAAGGAATTGGCTGAAAAACTTTCAGAACCACTATCCATTATTTTCTTGGAATCATGAGAAACAGGTGAAGTGCCAGATGATTGGAGGAGGGCTAATGTTGTCCCTATCTTCAAAAAGGGTAAAAAAGAGGAACCCAGGAACTACATGCCATTCAGCCTAATGTCAATCCCAGGGAAAATTCTGGAACAATTTATGAAATGGTCACTATGCAAGCACCTTGATCTGGTAGCATCCCTGATAGACAGAGGGAATGCTGTGTGTGTGTGTTTAGTCGTTTAGTCGTGTCCGACTCTTCGTGACCCCATGGACATCCTGATTAGCAGGCTAACTAGGTTTGGGCTTGATAGAACAACTGTCAGGTGGATATACAGTTGGCTATAATCATACTCAGAGGGGGATGATTAATGGCTCTTTCTCCAACTGGGAGGAGGTAGCAAGTGGGGTACCCCAAGTCTCAGTCCTGGATCTGGTGCTCCTCAACATTTTTATTAATGGCTTGGATGAGGGAGTGCAGGGAATGCTTTGAAATGTGTGATGACACAAAATGGGGTGGAATAGCTAATGCCCTGGAAGACAGTAACAAAATTAAAAATGAACTGGATAGGCTGGCACACTGGGCAAAAATCAACAGAATGAAATTCAACAGGGATAAGTGTGAAGTACTGCACCTTGGAAAAAGAAACCAAATGCACATTTACAAGGTGGAGGCTATCTGGCCCAGCAATACTACAAGCAGGAAGGATCTTGAAATAATCATAGATCACAAGCTGAACAGGAGCCAAGAGTGTGATGTAGCTACAAAAAAGGCAAATGCTATTTTAGGCTGCATTAACAGAAGTATACTTTCCAAATCTCATGAGGCACCTTGAGTATTGTGTCCAGTTCAGGAAACTACACTTCAATAAGGATGCTAACAAATTGGAACAAGTTCAGAGGAGGGCAACAAGGATGCAACAAGGATGATCAGGTGGCTGGAAACCAAGACTTCTGAGGAAAGACTGAAATAACTGGGCATGGTGATCCTTGAGAAAAGAAGACAGAGGGGTGATATGATAACACTTTTCAAATACTTGAAAGGCTGTCATATAGAGGAGGGGCTCCCAGAATGTAGGGCAAGTTACAGGAAGCCAGATTTTGATTGAATATCAGGAAAAGCCTCCTAAGTGTTAGAACAGTAAGACAGTGGAACCAATTATGTTGAGAGGTAGTGAGTGCCCAAACACTGGAGACATTCAAGAGAAATTTAGACAACCACCTGGCAGATATGCTTTGACTTGTGTTGTTGCATTGAGCAGGAGGTTGGAACTGATGGCCTTATAGGCTCCTTCCAACTTCACTATTCTGTGATTCTATGCTCAAGTTTTTACAAAAAAGATGTTTACCATATGGAGTGAGAAATGGATCCAGAAAAAGGAAAGACACTTGCAGTTCATATTGCAAAGATACTGTGACTATGGGAATATACCAAAGAATTTAAGAAGAAAATTAGTCTGTACTCGATAGATAACAGTAAAGCCTTTGAATAAGTTGATCATGACAGACTATGATGTGCCATCCCATATGATTGTTCTGATGTATAAGCTATACATTGGAACAGGTGCAAATGTTAGTACATAATATGGAGAGACAGAATCGTTTGCAGCTGGCAAAGGGGTCCGGGAAGGGTAATTTTATCTCTCTGTGTTTATTGTGTATGCAGAACATCATATCATATGAAAAACTGGATTAAATTCAGGTGAAGGAATAGGGAAAGCTCATAGAAGAAACAGCAATAATTTAAGAAGTGCAGAAGACACCAGATTACTGGCAGAAAACAGCAGTAAATTCAAATAGTTACTGAAGAAGATATAATGATTTCAGAAGAATTACATAACTTTAATGTTGACAATTAAGAAATCGAAATAGTTGAAGATTTTCTATACTTTGGTCCACTCACCTATCTAAATGGAGATTGCAGGCAAGATATAAGAAAAAGATGAGATTTAGAATGGCAATTATAAATGTACTAGAAAAAAACTTTTAGAAATGAGTATGTGTCACTGGAGACCAAAGCCAATATCATCGATACTATAGTATTCTTAATTACTATTTACATGTGTGAACGCTGGACAATGTACAAAGCTGACAGGAAAAATAATTCAAAAGCTGTTGTCTGATAAGAGTTTTATGGACACTATGGGCTGCCTAAAAGAGAAATAAATGTTTTCCAGCTCAAAGGTCAAGCCTGAACCCAGAGTTAAATTGAAGCTTTTATATTTTAGAACTATAATGAGAAGTGGAGACTAATTGGAAAAGACAATAATGCTAGAAAAAGTGGAAGGAGTAAGAACGTAGGAAGATGTAACATGAGATGGATTGCTTCCATAAAGTAAACCATGGCCTTTTGATTGCAAAATGTAGGCAAACCTGTTAATGAGAGGACGTTTCGGAAGTTATTAATTCATATGGTTGTCCTGAGTTCGAAGCAACATGAAGGTACATAGCAACAAGCCTTTTTGTTTGTTTCTTTTTTACAACTTCACACCACTCAGGGAATTTATTTTATTTATTATATATATAATTACTGTCAATAATGACAGTTCTCTAGGCAGCAAGCAATAAAATTAGTGACATAAATGCAATACCATATGCTGTAAAAACAGTATAAGCAGCAGCGGAGAATAAAGCTAAGAGGAGCAATGAAAATTTTCCACAACCTTTTAAAAATTCCAGACATATTGGAAGATGAAGAGATCCCTAGAAGCAATCTTTAACTTTATTTTAAACCCATAAAAATAAGAAATGTGGCACATATAACCATTTAAAAATATTTTCAAGTATGTAGAGAACTAATAAGGAAACCATAAACTAAGGGAGTGATCAGATGGGGGTTTAGATCACAATTTGAAATACTGCCAGCGTGATCTGGTTCACTCTCTTTGCTGTCAACCAGACAATGTACTGCAGATCATGAACGAGCCTGATCCTGCTCCATACCCTATCTGGACCTTTCTGGTATTTTCTGGAGCAGGCTGCGCAATTGAGACTGGACAGAAAGTCACTTTAAACTGTCCTTTATAAGATCACACGCTGGAAGTGACAATTTCTGGTGTGATCTAGTGCAATCTTTATGTCCTAATTTAACAACACTCAAAATATCTCCCTGGAACTACACCCTCATGTTCTGCCAGTAGCCAGGAGATCAAGATACTGGCCACTGGCAATTATATCTTGAGTGCTTCTTTCTGGCTGTACAATGGACATAAAGACCTTGTAGCTTTTGCTTTCTAAAATCACTGCAAATATTATTGTGAGACATAGTGGGGAGCTGACAATGCCTTACAAGTTAAGAAATACATTTGAAAAAGAAGTTAAAAATAGAGAGAGAGCACTTAACCTCAACTTGATTTAATACATATTACCTTTGTTAAGTCATAATTTGTCCAGCTGGAACCAGAAAGTCAATGTGAGGTGAGGGGACTTCATAGCTTGGCAGTCTTCTGCCAGTCAAGACTTTCTGGGTTTCAATCTTGAAAGAGGTTGGGTAGTCCTATGGATCAATGTAGCAGCTTGCTATGACTGCTGGATAGGTCTTTCACCCATACTCCAAGGCAATGAAACAGGTTTTATAGCATTCTGAGTGGGGCTTGGGCAGGCAGGGAGGATGTGATGGCAACAACACTCATACTATTAGACACCAGACAGTCAGTTGGAATAAAGTGACCCAATATTAAATTGGGTACAGATGCTGGCAGTATTGGCAGAGCAATAGAAGATGGATTCTAACATCAGCTGATCCATCTGCCAGCTGATGGATCTTCCCCAGGTCACTTATTGAAAAAGAGATTGGCAATGACAGGACACTGGGCAAACCACAAGAGTGCAAGCCCACTAAATGACCTGGAGTGAAAGGAGTGCCACAGCCCCTAAATTAGGTGTGTGGCAGTAGCCATCGCTACTGTAATCTCCACACGCGGAGGTACCCACCCACACAGCCCTCCCCATTACCATTGGATCCAGCATGTGTGTGTCTGTGTGGTTCCAGACAAATTCCTACTAAAAAGATCTCCAGGCAGGGGGCGCGAGGATGAGTCCTCATGGCTGCTGCTGAGTGGTCAGCTGAGCAGAGAGACAGTGTCGCTTGTAGTCATCCAGTGCAATAGAGGACCACTTTCACTCCTTAGCATGCTTGAGGCTTTTAGACAGAGGAGTCCCAGTGCAGCCAGGGAGCTTCTGAACTTGACCAGTGATTCTCAGACCTGGGTCCCCAAATGTTCTTGGACTGCAACTCCCAGAAATCCTGGCCAGCACAGCAAATGGTGAAGGCTTCTGGGAATTGCAGTCCAAGAATATCTGGGGTCCAAGAATTTGTGTGTGTGTGTGTGTGTGTGTGTGTGTGTGTGTATGTATATATACACACACACATCACGAGTGAGAGGGAACGGGCAAAACAAAAGGAGAGAGGAGAAAGAGAGTGGCGGCCTGAGAAGGACAGGATCTTTTTTTAAAAAGAGGGAATAAAAATTTGTGGGTTTGCCCGGAGGTATTTGAACGAGCAGCAGGAGTTGAGAAAGGAGAGGCGGCGGCTCGTAAAGATTGAGGAAGGCTGGCAGAAAAGAAGCAAACCTGTAGGGAAGGGGAGCCAGAGCAAGAGTGGGGCTCCACGCCAGGCACCTGCCACAGAAAGAGGGAGAGGGAGAAGAGGCGGCAACCGCCTCAGCAGCAAAGGGAGGTGGGAAAGAAAGGGGAACCTTCTCGCAGAGCTCGCCTCGGTGCGAGTGAAGGAGCAACAACAGCAGGTGCCAGGATATGTTGTGTAATTAATAAAGATTATAAGGTGATAATTGTACAATTGGCTGTTTAAATAATTTTTTTTGGTATTTTGAAAAAAAGCCTCCATTGAATTTATTTTTATTTTTTAACATGACTGTTTCTTGGTCGGTTCACTAAGAGACATTTATTGGCAGCTATTGTAATAAACTTGTATTGACTGCAGGTTTAATCTGGAACAATTAAAATGAAACATTCAATACATCCTCCTCTGTCCTCTTTTTTGTCTTTTTATGTCTTCCTTTTGGTACCCATGTATCTGGAAACCCTAGACATGGTGCACCTTTCAGAGGCCCACAGTTGTAGCTGATGATTCAGTCTGGTGGGCAAAATTGAGAAGTTCACTACTGTATCCATCCATTTTTGCCTAAAGTAAGGTTTTGAGGGAATTTGGTGGTTGTGGTCAGGAGAGATCTCTGAAAAATTTCAAAGGAACTAGAAGAACTGGCAAAGAAGAAGAAGAGCAAATTAAAGTACATACGCAGTAGGATCTGACTCGGACATCGGGCCCTTGTTATCTTCACATGGACACAACCTAGGGCCTCCTCGTCCCTCCAACGGTGGCCAGAGTGAGTCTTCTTTCAACTCTTTGGCTTCAGTGCAATTTTCCTTTGTTGAAACACCATTTGAAATACAGTATATTGATGGAAGGGAGTGGCCCAAGTGAAATCTGACATGGCACCCCTGCTGAAGATACAATTGGAGAACCTAGCTCAGGATTTGCAATGAAGTTCCACTTCACCACTCTCCACATTTATCTGTGTCTGACCTTAAATTTCCACTGTAGTGCTTCCTTTTGAGCCAAACAATGTCTATACAGTGCTGTCAACTGGAAGGTAAGAGATGTGCACACAGTGTCAACTTGCACAACGTTGCCTCACAAAGGGAGCCTTTCTAATGGCAGGATAAATAAGCTCTTAATACAGTTGGGGAGCAGAGCTGCCATTCTTCATTGCTTAAAACCTTCAGCCAGGCTGGGCTCCTGCTTACTCGTCCTTGCTTAATGGAACTCCCTTGATGTCTTTCTCTGCAGAATCACTGTGTGTGTGTGTGTGTGTGTGTGTGTGTGTGTGTGTGTGTGTGTGTGTGTGTGTGTGTGTGTGTGTGTGTGTGTGTGTGTTCCGTAAAGAAACATGCCTCCTCCTGTATACCTCTCATGGGCTTAATTTGTATATAAGGAAAACATGAAACATATGCAAAAAAGAGCCACCCTTATCTGATTGCATTGCATGTTATAATATACTGTACTTAAATTAGTTGAAATGTATTTAATTAGACCCACCAGGAAGACACTGAGGTGATTGAAGAAGAAGAAGACCATAGATTCAATTTCTGGAGAATCCTACTTGTAGGAGTGAATCCTAGAGTAAGTGAAGTAAAAAAAAGATATAAAGATGCTTGAAGAAAGAAGCCTTCATGGATAGTAAGCATTCCACCAAATTCAATTTCACATGCCAACTTAATGTGATTGGACTAAACCATTCAATTTAAGATCATTTGCATATGTTGGCAATACCTCTTCTAGAAATAGAACACAGGCAAGGAGTAGTAATTAATACAGTATGTTTCAAGTGTTCAAAGCACTTTACATTCATTATCTCTGCAATCTCTGGAAGAGCCTTGTGGGGGTGGAGCAGTGTTATTATTATTGGGTTACATGTGAGGAGCAAAGGCTGAGAGAATAGCGGTTTGACTTAAGGGTCGCAACTGGATATATAAAGCACACAGGCTTTATATATCCAGGCAATGCAGTGTTGTTTCTTTTTTCTTTTCCATTTAAAAGCAATTGAAGAGAGTTTGGATCAAGGTTGCCAGAATGGGTTGAGTGCTATTAACCTCTGCTGTTCCCTCCTGGTGGCCTGTAATCCATAGAGAAGGGGTGAAAGTCATTTGCTATTGTGCTGGGTTGCTCTTGAATTTGCCTTGTTTTGTGGGCCGGCAGAGCGGGGAGCTATAGGCTTCAATATTTTCTGCCTCATATTATCAACCTTAGGGCAGAACTGTGACCTGCCATTTTTTTCTGAACTTCCGATGTTTCAACATCCTGGAACTCAGAACATTAAAGCAGTCTCTGGTAGCTGTGCATTTTTTCTTTCTTCACCTGTATAGCTTGACTATGTCATCTTACACTGAAGAAATGAGATGACAAAGAGATGTGCCTTCTTCCAACTGGGTCTTTTCCTTCCCAGTAGTCTCTGGCTATATTCTTACCTCCTCTTTAAAGCCAGTTATTGACAGACACCAGTTAATGCCTTAAGAAAGAGATTATTAAGCAACTTTGCCAAGATCAAGATGTGCCTTTGTGATCTAGAATGACAGAAATGCCATCCACAGAAATATTGTGATAAAAAAATTACTGAACTGGAAAACAGATCAGGAGGTCATTAAGACCAATACCCATTTGATTTCCCTTCCCTGCCCAAAAAATGTGTGGTGTACTTCTTTCTCCATCCCCCTGTACTTCTTAGCAAGCGTTTTGGTAAAGAAGAAGAGGTGCTGGAGTCATACTGTGGCTTGCTTATTTCAAAGTTGCAGTTATCTCGACCCTTCAGATGGCAGTAGAAATTCCAAAGATGCCTGCTCTTAAGACTACCTACTGAGTTTCTAGTTAGATACAACTTTAAAGAAGGCAATGTTTTCTGATACAGTGGTGCCTCGCTTGACGAGGATAATCCATTCCAGCAAAATCGCTGTAGAACAAAATCCTCGTCAAGCGAAATAAAGAAGCCCATTGAAATGCATTAAAACCCGGCTAATGTGTTCCAATGGGCTAAATACCTCAGTGTCCAGCGAAGATCCTCCATAGGGCGGCCATTTTCTGCTCCCTGTCTTGCGAAGAATCCGTCCTAAAGCACAGCAGGGAGCCATTTCACACAGCAGGTGGCCCTTTTGAAAACCCCACGATCAGCTGTTTTTCATCCTCAGGAAGCAACTGCTGGGACTATTGGGACTGTGTGTGACTGAAAGGAGGGCTTGCAACTCCGGGGTAAAGTGTGCCAGGAGAAAAGCCGCGCTGTGGTTTGTGCACGCTGCAGCGTTTTGGCGAATGCGGGTGGTTTTAAAACCTGACCGGGATTGCCTGGCTGCAACATTTCTTCCCTTTTTCGCCTCTCCCCTTTTGCTGCCCCTTGTTTTAGTGAGGGCTTTGGCATTGCTTTGGGAAAGGCTCAGATTCGCTCTCTCCTACAGTCGTTTTTACTTCTCCCCCGCCTTCTTGGAGAGCTTTAATTCATAGCCTTTTCGTTTGCCTTGCCTGTTGGTTTTCGCTTGCCATGGCAGTGGCATTCCGCTCCCTATCGCTGCCTCTTTGTGCTGAGTCATTTTGGTCTCCCACACACACACACACTTCTGGGAGATCTTTACTCTATAGCCGTTGCCTGTTTGGCATTGACTGGCTGCGGCGGTGGTGGCGGCTCCTCTCCCATTTAACTCTTGCTGTTACGGTTCTCTGTTGGTTCCCCCCCACCCCTTGCTTGCCTCCCTTGCTGCGGAGGCAGCAAATTTTTCCACTCCCCCTCCCCATTGTTGTGACACATGGCCCCAGTCTCTCTCGCTTACTGGCTGTTGCCACGTGGGCAGCTAAAACTAGGTAGCTGTAGGGCAGGGCAGTTAGGAAACCTATCATCGTAAAGTGAAATTTCCCTATCTAAACATCGTTTTGCAATCGCTTTTGTGATCGCAAAAACCTCATCGCACAGCGGATTCATCGTACAATGAGGTAATCATTAAACGGGGCACCACTGTATATTGTGCTGTGCACAGAAGGAAGGAGGTACAATGTACAAAAGTTTTTATTACACAGATAACTTTGTTTCACTCAGCAGCAGTTTGTGCTTCCTAATGCACTTGTGAAGAATATTTGACTTCAGCTAAGCAATGACAATCTCAGAGCTTCTGGCAGGTCTTGTCCATGAGCTGCCCTCTAATCCCTTTGTTCTAGGCTGCTGTTTCTCATCTAGGAAAGGCCTAACCTTTACTCACATGAAATGTGCAGATCTAGAATTGCTTGTTTGCAAGTGTTGAGACTCAGTTCTTTAAAAATGAAAAATACAGTGGAGTCTCAACTTACGGTCGGCTCTACTTACGTACTTTTCAATCTACAGACTTCTCCGGCCACAAAGTTTCACTTCGACTTGCGGCCAGAGAATCAACCTGGACTCCTAGACTGTCCAGGAGTCCGAGCATGGCTGCGATCGCCCGGCGTGGCTCGGCTCCCAGCAGTGGCGGCAGCGGCAGGGGACCTCCAGATGCCTTCCAGAGAAGCCTTGGAAGGGCCAGCCCCCCCCCCCCGCTGCTGCTGCCGGGAGCCTTTGGAGCTCTCAAAAGACTTTCTGCCCAACATCAGAGGAAGCCGTTTGAGACCTCCGAAAGAAAAAGGCAGGGGGAAAGGGCTGGAAATTCAAATTTCCCACCCTTTCTCCCTGCCTTTTTGCCTTCTGAGGTCTCAAAGGGCTTCGATGTCGGGTGGAAAGTCTTTTGAACGCTCCGAAGGCTACCAGCAGCAGCAGCAGCGGGGGGAGGATCTCCAGATGCCTTCTCCGCCACCATGGGAGGCCTCTTGGAGGTCCCCCCTGCCACCGATAGTGCCTCCAAAGCACTATCGGCGGTGGCAGGGGACCTGCAAGAGGCCTCCCATAGCGGCGGGGAAGGCATCCAGAGGTCCCCCTCACCAATGCAGGCTTTCCCGGGGTGGACGGGCCTAGCAGGGGAGGGCTTTCCTGGTAGGCCTGGTCTACTGCCCGGGAAAGCTTGGTAGACAGGGCCTACCCTAAGCCGTCAGCGGGGGGGGGGGGGGGGAGCTCTGAGAGGCCTCCGGCACCGGTGCCAAAACCCTTGGAGTCGTCCAGCAGTGGTGGTGGCAGTGGCGGGGGACCCCTGGAAGGCTTCAGAAAAGTACAGTTTTATTTTAAAATTTTTATTTTAATTTTGTTTGTATGTGTGTGGGGGGGGTTTTCTTGGGCGGGTTATGGATTAAATGGTTTTCAGTGCATTTCTATGGGGAATGCTACAGACTCCGTTCCAATACGGATTAATTCTGTAGGTCGAGACCCCACAGTATCCTGTAAGACAGGATCAACTTTGATGTATTAAAGCAAAAAAAGTGATGCCTCACTTTGACATATTCTTAGATTCCACGCTCTTTAGCATCATATTGTCACCTGCTGAAAGTTCTACTAGCTCCAATCCTTAGGAGATCTTCATCTCATCTGTCTTTATATGTGGAACCCATATAATCCATCTTCTGTGTTTGTGCAACAAATACAATGGTGCCTCCACTTACAACCATAATCCTTTCCAGAAGATGGACATAACTCGAAATGGTCGTAAGTCGAAGCACCATTTCCCATAGGAATGCATTTAAGCGATTAATCTGTTCCGGCTGAAGAAACCGCCCTCCCCAAAAAATCACTGCAAGACTCATTGGAAATGTGATTAATCCCTTCCGGCCAAAGGGGGGGGGGGAGAAAAGCAATCAAGCATGCAAGACCCATTGGAAATGCACAGAAAACAAACGGAGCAGATGGGAAATGCACAGAGAACAAAGAGAGCAGGTCAGAAAGAAAACAAAGGAAAAAGCAAGGGCAGCATGCAGGACCCATCGGAAATGGGGAAAACCCCAAAGCAACCAACCCCCTCAAGACCCATCGGAAATGGGGGGAAGCCAAAAAACAAAGACCCATCATAAATGCGGAACCCCCCCCCCAAAAGCAACCAAACCCCCCCAAGGGGGAAAATAAAAAACAAACAAACAAACCCCCTCAAGACCCATCAGAAATGGGAAAGAAACACTCCAAAAAGCAACCAAACCCCCCAAGACCCATCGGAAATGGGGGAAAAACCAAAAAACAAACAACCCCCCCAAAATCCATCACAGCACAGAAACATAACCCTCAAAACCACGCTGCAAAAACATCCAGAACAGTTAGTTTTTAAAGAGCAGAAAACAGCACCTCACCTTACCAGGCAGCCCAAAGCCTCCTTGCAAATACATACACACACTCACTCAGAAGCAGATGGAGGCAGTCCCAAGCCTCCTCCGATGCACTCTAACTGCTGGGGCGAAAGAGCTACAAAGAAGCAGCCTTGTCGCCACCTACAGTTAGAAATTTGAATTTCCTGCCTTTTTCATTGCCTTTTGCTGTTCATAAGTGGAAGCTCTGGTCACAAGTAGCAAAATTTTGCGGCTGGAGCTGGTTGTAACTTGAAGTGATCGTATGTAAGTCAAGGCACCACTGTACAGCATTTATGAGAAGTGGTGAGTCATCAAAAGCAGGATGGGCTCCCCAGGGTGTTAAATAAGTACTTGTTTCTACTACTTTCCTTCTGTTATTACAAAGGCTCGATTATTGTCAGAAAAGATTT